TTTTCATAGTAGTCTTTAATAATTCTTTGTATTTCTGTGGAGTCTGTCGTGATTTTTCCATTCTCATTTCTGATTATGTTGATTTGTGTTGACTCTCTTTTTCTCTTAATAAGTTGGGCTAGAGGCTTATCTATTTTGTTTATTTTCTCAAAGAACCAGCTCTTGGTTTCGTTGATTTTTGCTATTGTTTTATTCTTCTCAATTTTGTTTATTTCTTCTCTGATCTTTATTATGTCCCTCCTTCTGCTGACTTTAGGCCTCATTTGTTCTTCTTTTTCCAGTTTTAATAATTGTGATGTTAGACTATTCATTTGGGATTGTTCTTCCTTCTTCAAGTGTGCCTGGATTGCTATATACTTTCCTCTTAAGACTGCTTTCGCTGCATCCCACAGAAGTTGGGGCTTAGTGTTGTTGTTGTCATTTGTTTCTATATATTCCTTGATCTCTATTTTGATTTGTTCATTGATCCATTGATTATTTAGTAGCATGTTGTTAAGCCTCCATGTGTTTGTGAGCCTTTTTGTTTTCTTTGTAGAATTTATTTCTACTTTCATACCTTTGTGGTCTGAAAAATTGGTTGGTAGAATTTCAATATTGTGGAATTTACTGAGGCTCTTTTTGTGAGCTAGTATGTGGTCTATTCTGGAGAATGTTCCATGTGCACTTGAGAAGAATGTATATCCTGTTGCTTTTGGATGTAAAGTTCTATAGATGTCTATTAGGTCCATCTGTTCTAGTGTGTTGTTCAGTGCCTGTGTGTCTTTACTTATTTTCTGCCCGGTGGATCTATCCTTTGGGGTGAGTGGTGTGTTGAAGTCTCCTACAATGAATGCATTGCAGTCTATTTCCCTCTTTAGTTCTGTTAGTATTTGCTTCACATATGCTGGTGCTCCTGTATTGGGTGCATATATATTTAGAATGGTTATATCCTCTTGTTGGACTAAGCCCTTTATCATTATGTAGTGGCCTTCTTTATCTCTTGTTACTTTCTTTGTTTTGAAGTCTATTTTGTCTGATATTAGTACTGCAACCCCTGCTTTCTTCTCACTGTTGTTTGCCTGAAATATGTTTTTCCATCCCTTGACTTTTAGTCTATGCTTATCTTTGGGTTTAAGGTGAGTTTCTTGTAAGCAGCATATAGATGGGTCTTGCTTTTTTATCCATTCTATTACTCTATGTCTTTTGATTGGTGCATTAAGTCCATTTACATTTAGGGTGACTATTGAAAGATATGTACTTATTGCCATTGCAGGCTTTAGATTCGTGGTTACCAAAGGTTCAAGGTTAGCTTCTTTAGTATCTTACTGCCTAACTTAGCTCGCTTATTGAGCTGTTATATACACTGTCTGGAGAGTCTTTTCTTCTCTCCCTTCTTATTCCTCCTCCTCCATTCTTCATATGTTGTGTGTTTTGTTCTGTGCTCTTTTTAGGGGTGCTCCCATCTAGAGCAGTCCCTGTAGGATGCCCTGTAGAGGTGGTTTGTGGGAAGCAAATTCCCTCAGCTTTTGCTTGTCTGGGAATTGTTTGATCCCACCATCATATTTAAATGATAGTCGTGCTGGATACAGTATCCTTGGTTCAAGGCCCTTCTGTTTCATTGCATTAAGTATATCATGCCATTCTCTTCTGGCCTGTAGGGTTTCTGTTGAGAAGTCTGATGTTAGCCTGATTGGTTTTCCTTTATAGGTGACCTTTTTCTCTCTAGCTGCCTTTAAAACTCTTTCCTTGTCCTTGATCCTTGCCATTTTAATTATTATGTGTCTTGGTGTTGTCCTCCTTGGATCCTTTCTGTTGGGGGTTCTGTATAATTCCATGGTCTGTTCGATTATTTCCTCCCCCAGTTTGGGGAAGTTTTCAGCAATTATTTCTTCAAAGACACTTTCTATCCCTTTTCCTCTTTCTTCCTCTTCTGGTATCCCTATAATACGAATGTTTTTCCTTTTGTATTGGTCACATATTTCTCTTAGTGTTGTTTCATTCCTGGAGATCCTTTTATCTCTCTCTATGTCAGCTTCTATACGTTCCTGTTCTCTGGCTTCTATTCCTTCAATGGCCTCTTGCATCTTATCCATTCTGCTTATAAATCCTTCCAGGGATTGTTTCACTTCTGTGATCTCTTTCCTGACATCTGTGATCTCCTTCCGGACTTCATCCCACTGCTCTTGCATTTTTCTCTGCATCTCATCCCACTGCTCTTGCATTTTTCTCTGCATCTCATCCCATTGCTCTTGCATTTTTTTCTGCATCTCTGTCAGCATGTTCATGATTTTTATTTTGAATTCTTTTTCAGGAGGACTAGTTAGGTCTGTCTCCTTCTCAGGTGTTGTCTCTGTGATCTTTGTCTGCCTGTAGTTTTGCCTTTTCATGGTGATAGAGATAGTTTGCAGAGCTGGTACAAGTGACCGCTGGAAGAGCTTCCCTTCTTGTTGGTTTGTAGCCTTTTCCTGGGAGAATAGCGACCTCTAGTGGCTTGTGCTGGGCAGCTGTGCGCAGACAGGGCTTCTGCTTCCTGCCCAGTTGCTTTGGGGTTTATCTCCGCTGTTGCTGTGGGCTTGGCCTGGCTGGGGCTGTTCCTCCAAAATGGTGGAGCCCCGTTGGAGGGGGAGCAGCCAGGAGACTATTTATCTCCGTAAGGGGCCTCTGTGCTCCCTGCTGCCCAGGGGGTTAGAGTGCCCAGAGATCCCCAGATTCCCTGCTTCTGGTCTAAGTGACCTGTCCTGCCCCTTTAAGATTTCCAAAAAGCACTCTCCAAACCAAAACAACAACAGCAACAATGAGAGAGGGAACAGAAAGGAAAAAAAAAAGAAAAAACACGCGATTTTTTTTTTTTTTTCCCCAGGTGCCGGTCCCAGGCACCCGCGCACTGGTCCTGCTGCCCTGTCTCCCTAGCACCAGGGTCCCTGTCCTTTCAAGGCTTCCAAAAAGCACCCACCCACCGGTCCCGCAGGGAAGGAACGCTCAATATTCTTGGTCCTCAGGCACTGGTCCCACGCACCCGCTCACCAGTCCCGCCGCCCTGCCTCCCTAGCACCGGGGTCCCTGTCCCTTCAAGGCTTCCAAAAAGCACTCGGCAAAAAGAGAGAAAAAAAAGGGGAAAAACGCGCGATTTCTTCCGTCCTCAGGTGCTGGTCTCAGGCACCCACCCACCGGTCCCACAGGGAAAAATGCGGGATATTCTTTGTCCTCAGGTGCCGGTCCCAGGCACCCGCTCACCAGTCCCGCCGCCCTGCCTCCCTAGCACCGGGGTCCCTGTCCCTTTTAGGCTTCCAAAAAGCACTCGCAGAAAAGAGAAAAAAAAAAGGGGAAAAACGCGCGATTTCCTCTGTCCTCAAGTGCCGGTCTCAGGCACCCGCCCACCGGTCCCGCAGGGAAAAACGGGGGATATTCTTTGTCCTCAGGCGCCGGTCCCAGCCACCCGCTCACCAGTCCCGCCACCGTGCCTCCCTAGCACTGGGGTCCCCGTCCCTTCAAGGCTTCCAAAAAGCGCTTGCCAAAAAGAGAAAAAAAAAAAAGGGGAAAAACGCGCGACCTCCTCCGTCCTCAGGCACCGGTCTCAGGCACCCGCCCCCAGGTCTCGCAGGGAGAAACGCGGGATATTCTTTGTCCTCCGGCGCCGTTCCCAGGCACCTCCTCACCGGTCCCGCCACCCTGCCTCCCCAGCAACGGGGGCCCGTCCCTCTAAGGCTTCCAAAAAGCGCTCGCCAAAAAAAAAAAACTGCTCCGGTTTCTCTCCACCCGCCGGGAGCCGGGGGGAGGGGCGCTCGGGTCCCGCCGGCCCGGGGCTTGTATCTTACCCCCTTCACAAGGCGCTGGATTCTTGCAGGTGTGGATGTGGTCTGGATGTTGTCCTGTGTCCTGTGGTCTCTATTTTAGGAAGATTTTTCTTTGTTATATTTTCATAGCTCTATGTGTTTTTGGGAGGAGATTTCCACTGCTCTACTCACGCCGCCATCCTGGCTCCGCCCCTCCTAAATACTATTTTTTATGCTATTGTAAATGATATTTTTTAAGGTTTTTTTCCCCCAATTTTTGTTGTTGGTAATACGTAGATGTACAACTGATTTTTTTTAAATTTTTTTATTAAGGTATGATTGATATACACTCTTATGAAGGTTTCACATGAAAAAACAATGTGGTTACTACATTTACCCATATTATCAAGTCCCCACCCATACCCCAATGCATTCACTGTCCATAAGTGCAGCAAGATGCCAGAGAAACACATTCAATTTTAAGAAGAGCTCTGTGTCCCCTCTGGTTCTGGAGACCACACTGAAGCCAGCAAAAATGGCCTTGGACTACAGCATCCTAGACATATTTGGTACAACTGATTTTTTACATGTTAATCTTTTGTCCTGCAGTCTTGCTGTATAACTTACTTGCTCTGAGAGCTTTTTTGTAGATTCCATAGGATTATCTTCATAGAAGATTGATTATGTTGTCTGTGAGTAAAGGCAGTTAATGTCTTCCTTTCCAATCTTGGCACAGTTTCTTTTTTTTTCTTGTTCTAGTGCACTGGCTATACCCTCTAGGGCCATATTGAATAGCTATTTTGAGAGTAGACATCTTGCTTTGTTCTTGATAACACAGTATATCATGAATTTTTTTAAATGGTAGTATCATGTTTTTAAAGGGTGTTCTGATGTCTGTATTCTAGGTTTTCTGCCATTGCCTAAATTCCATGTTTAGTATCATCAAACACTACTTTCCTAATATAAATTAACTACAAGGTAATTCTGAGTTGTTCCATTTATGTCACTACTGAAACTATTAATTTTAAATATACAACTTAGAGTAAGAGTGTTGGTTTGTATATTAGTTTTACATCTTAAGTAAAGTGGGGTATCAGTATAAAAATTAATGATCTCTTTAATATTTTGGAATAAAAATGGTTAAATAATTTTGCCATGGTTGTTTAAGGTGAACCTTATAAATGGACCTTTGAGGAAGACTCTGTGACCATTTTACAATAAGGTGGATTGTTTGTGTTTGATTTATAGGTTAGTAATCCTAGGATGGATTTGACCCTTGCTGAACTTCAGGAAATGGCATCTCGCCAGCAACAGCAGATTGAGGCCCAGCAACAAATGCTGGCTACTAAGGTAATGTATTGTTTAAAAGATCTGACTTGCCACCACTGTTGTATATGTGTAAAGCCGTTCATATTCTACCTGCTATGTAGTGCTTTCTCCTCTTTACTGCAGCATTTTTGGAAGTCTTTAAGTTGTCTCACTTTTTGATATTTTCCTGACCCCTGATTGTGATCGAAGTTAACCATGCTCTACTGGGTATCAGTAAAACAGGAAAGGCATGAAGAAGCTTGCTAGTAGGAGCTACTCAGGGCTAAGTTTGCCCTGAATCATCATGGTAGCAGAGGTAGTTAGAGTCTGCAAGTGCTAACACTGTCCCTTTCTGCTACTTGGCACCAATAACAGGCTGCTTGCCTTTATTTGGGAACATTGTCTACCCACAAGCTTAACCTAGTCCTCTTCTTGAACAAGGCAAATACAAGATGCCTTTGTTAATATCAGAACCAGTCTTACTTCTGCTTCTCCTGGCAGCTATAGGCTTCTAGTCTAAACCAGATATTATCTGACTTTTTCTGTGAAGGGCTATATAGTACATATTTTAGGCTTTGAAGCCTGTTTTGTCTCAGTTCTGCAGCTGTAGCATGAAAGCAGCCATAGACAATAGGTAAATGAATGGGTGTGGCTGTGTTCCAATAAAACTTACAAAGACAGATAGCAAGCTGGATTTTGCCTGCAGGTTCCTTGCCAACTCCTGGACTAAACTCAGTATCTGCAGCTGACAAGTCTTTTAGTGACTTTAAGCTCACTGAAGCGAGGGTATGCAGCTGATGGTTTGACATAGCAGATTACCCAGCAGGGCTTTGAAGTAATGGCCAGGGCTTTTATAAGGTGGTTTTCAGCATGCACTATGGCCTTCCCAGGGTTCCTATGTATCTATTTTCTGTTTTTGATGCTGGACACTGGCTTTTTCAAAATCATGTGCATCATTGCTTCTCAAGCTTTACACGGACAGGAATTACCTAGGGATCTTGTTTAAAATGCATATTCTGATTCAGTAGGTATGGGTGGGAGTCTGAAATTCTGCATTCTGACAAGCTCCCACGTGATACTGATGCACCAGTCCTTGAACAGCAAGGACATAAATTCAAGTAAAAAGGTTGATAACAGAATAATCTCTTACCTTGGGGGTCTTATTTTGAAGCTATTTCTGTGGTATTTATATATTTATGCATATTAATGTGAGAAATTTACCCTTGATTATAAAGGTGTGGCTCTATCACACAGTTTTGGTTAAAATTCTGATATATTAAAAATAAAATTTTAACTTGCATAATTGCAGTTTTCTAAAGGCATTAAATAGTTCTTTAGCTCTTTTCTAACTGTACCATTCAGTGCCCACTAGCCATGTAAGGGGCTGTTCAGAAAGATTCACATTTCATTAATCTTCACTGTAGCCCTGTGAAGTGAAGTTATGTAATTTTTCTGAAGTCTCATAGGTAAGTAAGTCATGTAGCTCAGGTCTGAATTCAAATTTGACTCTAAAACTTACCGTTTATCAACTTCCTTACCCTGCTTCCCACCCCTGCATGAGCTCCTTCTTAAACCCATAGCTGTAGCTCATAAACGCTAGCTCAGGGATTACTGTTTGCTTGCTTGCTTGCTTGCTTGCTTGCTGAATAAGAACCACTTGGATTAAACATTCAGATTCCTGAATCTTAACCTGCTGGAGATTTTAGGGTTGGGTGCAGGAATGTCTGTTTTTCACAGACATCTAAGGTGGTTCTGATGGCAGTGTGCAGGACAGATGGTAAGGCCAGAACAATGCTGCACTTCAGCCTCAGCATCTCAGGGTTGTGCTTAGGTTATTTTGGGGTTAGTGGTAACCCTGTTTAAAATTGTATGCCTGATGAGGGCTTATGTCTTTAGGAGCAGCGCTTAAAGTTTTTGAAACAGCAAGATCAGCGTCAAAAGCAACAAGCTGCTGAGCAGGAAAAGCTTAAGAGGCTAAAAGAAATAGCTGAGAATCAGGAAGCTAAGCTAAAAAAAGTGAGAGCAATTAAAGGACACGTGGAACAGAAGAGGCTAAGCAATGGGAAACTTGGTGAGTTGCTCCTAGCATGGTTACCTTAGCACCCAGGACCTGAGGCTGCCTTAACCCAGGACTAAGGACTGTGCCATAAACTGTTGGAGCATAGGAAAGCACATTGGTGTAGAAATTTATGTAGTTTTACAGTAGTAAATAAGGAGAATCAGATGAGACTTGTGTGTAAATGACTCTAAGAAAATTTGTTTTGAGAAGTAGAATTCACTGGGGTTTTGATACTGCTGTTTTCCCTGGATTGAATGCAGCTGCCCAGTGTTTTAAGCCATGATTCTGTTACCTTTGGAGAATATGAGAGTAGTTTATTTTTTCTCGCTAAACACTTTTTGGCTGAAAACTTGAAGAAGCAAGAATTTTTATTCATATAATAGCTCCATCTACCACTGAAACTGAGATTAAAAGTTCTAAATAAATTTGTTTCTTAAATTTGAAGTTTGTTTAATATTATTCCTAATATAAATTTTGTTAAAGATACATTCAGAGAGTCACAGACATTTAGAGATATCTCTGTTGATTTCAGTTGCTTATAAAGATAGAGGTTGGTTCTAGGACATTTGTGAGACGTCCCCTCTTCATAGAAAGTTTATTGTAAAGTGGGGTTAACTGGTCCATTCTTTTCAACTATCATTGCTTTTCTTGTTCCTCCATTCTAGTGGAAGAGATTGAACAGATGAATAGTTTGTTCCAGCAAAAACAGAGGGAGCTCGTTCTAGCTGTGTCAAAAGTAGAGGAACTTTCAAGACAGCTTGAGATGCTCAAAAATGGCAGGATTGATGGCCATCACGACAGCCAGTCTGCAGTGGCTGAGCTCGATCGGCTCTACAAGGAGCTGCAGGTAGTCCTGGCTGCTTATGAAATGCAGTGGGACCTCTTTTCCAGCAACACAGAGTTGTCCATATAAGTGGCAGGAGGGCTGGATTTCAGTTTCTTTTCTTTAAAGGGGAGAGGGGGAGGAGGACATAAATCCCATAGAATCTAGAATAAACTTTGTAGTACCTCAGACAGGAAATTTGAGGTCTTCCTTATAACCACAGCAGTGGTCTAACACTTAATTTTAAACCATGAGATGGGGAGTGTAGAGGGACCTTACATTTTTATAAGTTATATAATAGTTAACTATGTGATTCTCTCTGAGGGTTATTCTTCCTACTCCTTGGTTACCTCTTTTCCCCCCCATTTTATTCAGTTGAGAAACAAGCTGAATCAAGAGCAAAATGCCAAGCTGCAGCAACAGAGGGAGTGTTTGAATAAGCGCAATTCAGAAGTGGCAGTCATGGATAAGCGTGTCAATGAGCTGAGGGACCGGCTGTGGAAGAAGAAGGCGGCCCTACAACAAAAAGAGAACCTTCTGGTAAGTGGGCTGTCTTGAGGGTGGGGAGGAGGGAAGAAGAGGACAACCCAGGGAAATCACCTAGGCCAGCATCTCTTCTTCAGCATCCTTGCTGGTGTGCCCCCAGACAGAGCAGAGCTGCGGCTCCCCGGGAGAGAATCTCCTGTTCTCACAGATGGTAACATTGTTACCTGTGTAGCTCTTTTCTCCTTTCTAATATTTCTAATAAAGTGTGGGTAAGAGTCATCATGGAGTGTTTTTGCTTGGAATGTTCTTGTAGACTGTTTGACCTAGATCCTGAAAGTGCTGATCTTTACAGAATTATGAAAATTTCATGGCCTTTTCTGAGTTTGACTTTTTTTCCCTAAGGTCTCAGCTGATGGAAATCCACCCCAGCAAGGGGGGTCGACGCCTAGCCGCGTAGCTGCAGTCGGTCCCTATATCCAGTCAGCTACTATGCCCCGGATGCCCTCTAGGCCTGAACTTGTGGTGAAGCCAGCTCTGCCGGATGGCTCCCTGGCCATACAGGTGTCGGAGGGGCCGATGAAAGTACAGACACTGCCCAGCATGAGGTCGGGGGCTGCTTCACAAATTAAAGGTAAAAACGAGTCATTCCCGAGTCCTTCCCCCCTTAGCTCCTCCCTGTCCTCACAGTGACTTTTCCCCAAGTTTGAGTTTTAAAAGGATGTCTTCCCATCCCTTGTTCATGTTTAGCTCTAAGAGTCTCCTTACATTTCTTGCTAGCACAGTGGTGAGTTTGCTAAGGTTTCTTAACTGTAAATAATACAGTTCTGTTTGAGAAATGAAATAAAATGTAATGTTTCTGTGAATCTGAAAATTATTTTGAATTCCTTCTTGTTAATAAGGAAATTCTGACCTGACACTAATAATTTGAGAGCTTTTCTTTCTGTGTAGAACACCATGAATGTGTTAGTGGTGTCATTTTTACAGAATATGAAGTGGTGAGTTCATTCTGTTGATGGTGGGTGTTTACTGTTCATATGTGCTTATGCATGAGAATTTGTCTACTGATAATTTTTAGAGTAAGGTAAACATACTGGGAGATAAAAATGAAAATAACTGAGCTTCCTCGTGTTAATTTGCATTCTATATAGTCCTCAGGTATATTTGGAGGAACAAGCCAGAGTTTTGTGATAAGAGGAGAAAATGAAGGGGAATTTTAGGAAAAGTAATGTAAAGACACCCTTTAATGACCTTATCATTCAGACCCCCAAAGGAAAAGATAACAGCCAGGATTGTGTCTCTTCCTTAACCACTATCATGTGTAGACAATAGCAAAATTTAAAAGTATTAATTGTTTTGTGGTAATTACTATTGGGAAGCAATACTGCTACATAGTCTGGGTTTTATTGTAGAAGAGTTATTATTGTTTTGTTTCTATAAGGAAAAATAAAAGCTGTGGCTTTGAAACTTAATTACCAGTGTAGAAAAATCTTGAACACACAGACTAGACAGTGAAAGCTAGTGGCTGAATTTACAGGTTAAAAGCCCTTTGCCATTGGGTAGTGCGTTTCACTGTGGTGTCCTTAGGTAGGGTGTGCCCGAGAGCCTGCAGCTGCTGTACTGGGAGCCGCTTCCTGAGTGTGATGGTGACGCTTTCTTACCTAGTGAAGGCTCTAGCAGACTTTCTGTATATCATGACTAATTTAAAATTGTTTGAGCAAAGGGGAAAAATCTTACATTAGACATATGAAGTCTCATATTTTCTAAATAAATTTACTGGGGTTGTTGTGAGTCTGAAAGTTAAAACTGTTTTTAGAGCTTCAACTTCTTAACAGCAGAATGAACCATTAAAATCTCTTTAGAATGCTGGGTTATTTGTAATTGCTTTTCTGCATTCTAGCCTCTAAAATCCATCTGCTTGGCCCTGAGTGGAGTCCTCCAAATGCAAATCCTTTCCCGGACCAAGCCTCTGCTCCTGTCCCTAAAAGCTTTGGGAACGCTCCAGACCAAGGTGACGTTTATTTGTGGTGCTCCTGAATGTTCTATTCTGGCCATCTAGAGTGTGCTGTGTATTGTTTTTTTAGATAATTTATTTTCTAGTGTGTTAAAACTAGGGATGGTATTTATTTCCAGACCACCTTCATTTAGCCAGGGAGTTACTAGCATTGCACTATACTGTAGTCAACTTAATTTAAAAATAGGAAGGCATTTAGTGGGCATAAGGTTTCAGAGGTATTGAGAAGAGGTAAACATGTGTGAATTGCTGGATTTCAGTTTCTTTTCTTTAAAGGGGAGAGGGGGAGGAGGACATAAATCCCATAGAATCTAGAATAAACTTTGTAGTACCTCAGACAGGAAATTTGAGGTCTTCCTTATAACCACAGCAGTGGTCTAACACTTAATTTTAAACCATGAGATGGGGAGTGTAGAGGGACCTTACATTTTTATAAGTTATATAATAGTTAACTATGTGATTCTCTCTGAGGGTTATTCTTCCTACTCCTTGGTTACCTCTTTTCCCCCCCATTTTATTCAGTTGAGAAACAAGCTGAATCAAGAGCAAAATGCCAAGCTGCAGCAACAGAGGGAGTGTTTGAATAAGCGCAATTCAGAAGTGGCAGTCATGGATAAGCGTGTCAATGAGCTGAGGGACCGGCTGTGGAAGAAGAAGGCGGCCCTACAACAAAAAGAGAACCTTCTGGTAAGTGGGCTGTCTTGAGGGTGGGGAGGAGGGAAGAAGAGGACAACCCAGGGAAATCACCTAGGCCAGCATCTCTTCTTCAGCATCCTTGCTGGTGTGCCCCCAGACAGAGCAGAGCTGCGGCTCCCCGGGAGAGAATCTCCTGTTCTCACAGATGGTAACATTGTTACCTGTGTAGCTCTTTTCTCCTTTCTAATATTTCTAATAAAGTGTGGGTAAGAGTCATCATGGAGTGTTTTTGCTTGGAATGTTCTTGTAGACTGTTTGACCTAGATCCTGAAAGTGCTGATCTTTACAGAATTATGAAAATTTCATGGCCTTTTCTGAGTTTGACTTTTTTTCCCTAAGGTCTCAGCTGATGGAAATCCACCCCAGCAAGGGGGGTCGACGCCTAGCCGCGTAGCTGCAGTCGGTCCCTATATCCAGTCAGCTACTATGCCCCGGATGCCCTCTAGGCCTGAACTTGTGGTGAAGCCAGCTCTGCCGGATGGCTCCCTGGCCATACAGGTGTCGGAGGGGCCGATGAAAGTACAGACACTGCCCAGCATGAGGTCGGGGGCTGCTTCACAAATTAAAGGTAAAAACGAGTCATTCCCGAGTCCTTCCCCCCTTAGCTCCTCCCTGTCCTCACAGTGACTTTTCCCCAAGTTTGAGTTTTAAAAGGATGTCTTCCCATCCCTTGTTCATGTTTAGCTCTAAGAGTCTCCTTACATTTCTTGCTAGCACAGTGGTGAGTTTGCTAAGGTTTCTTAACTGTAAATAATACAGTTCTGTTTGAGAAATGAAATAAAATGTAATGTTTCTGTGAATCTGAAAATTATTTTGAATTCCTTCTTGTTAATAAGGAAATTCTGACCTGACACTAATAATTTGAGAGCTTTTCTTTCTGTGTAGAACACCATGAATGTGTTAGTGGTGTCATTTTTACAGAATATGAAGTGGTGAGTTCATTCTGTTGATGGTGGGTGTTTACTGTTCATATGTGCTTATGCATGAGAATTTGTCTACTGATAATTTTTAGAGTAAGGTAAACATACTGGGAGATAAAAATGAAAATAACTGAGCTTCCTCGTGTTAATTTGCATTCTATATAGTCCTCAGGTATATTTGGAGGAACAAGCCAGAGTTTTGTGATAAGAGGAGAAAATGAAGGGGAATTTTAGGAAAAGTAATGTAAAGACACCCTTTAATGACCTTATCATTCAGACCCCCAAAGGAAAAGATAACAGCCAGGATTGTGTCTCTTCCTTAACCACTATCATGTGTAGACAATAGCAAAATTTAAAAGTATTAATTGTTTTGTGGTAATTACTATTGGGAAGCAATACTGCTACATAGTCTGGGTTTTATTGTAGAAGAGTTATTATTGTTTTGTTTCTATAAGGAAAAATAAAAGCTGTGGCTTTGAAACTTAATTACCAGTGTAGAAAAATCTTGAACACACAGACTAGACAGTGAAAGCTAGTGGCTGAATTTACAGGTTAAAAGCCCTTTGCCATTGGGTAGTGCGTTTCACTGTGGTGTCCTTAGGTAGGGTGTGCCCGAGAGCCTGCAGCTGCTGTACTGGGAGCCGCTTCCTGAGTGTGATGGTGACGCTTTCTTACCTAGTGAAGGCTCTAGCAGACTTTCTGTATATCATGACTAATTTAAAATTGTTTGAGCAAAGGGGAAAAATCTTACATTAGACATATGAAGTCTCATATTTTCTAAATAAATTTACTGGGGTTGTTGTGAGTCTGAAAGTTAAAACTGTTTTTAGAGCTTCAACTTCTTAACAGCAGAATGAACCATTAAAATCTCTTTAGAATGCTGGGTTATTTGTAATTGCTTTTCTGCATTCTAGCCTCTAAAATCCATCTGCTTGGCCCTGAGTGGAGTCCTCCAAATGCAAATCCTTTCCCGGACCAAGCCTCTGCTCCTGTCCCTAAAAGCTTTGGGAACGCTCCAGACCAAGGTGACGTTTATTTGTGGTGCTCCTGAATGTTCTATTCTGGCCATCTAGAGTGTGCTGTGTATTGTTTTTTTAGATAATTTATTTTCTAGTGTGTTAAAACTAGGGATGGTATTTATTTCCAGACCACCTTCATTTAGCCAGGGAGTTACTAGCATTGCACTATACTGTAGTCAACTTAATTTAAAAATAGGAAGGCATTTAGTGGGCATAAGGTTTCAGAGGTATTGAGAAGAGGTAAACATGTGTGAATAAGAAATTTTATCATAGACAGTTTGAATTCAAGAGTGGGTTTTTTCTCCTTTCTCAGCTGATGAAGGGGAGGTTCCGCTGAGGGAGAAGGAGAAGAAGGTGCGTCCCTTTTCCATGTTCGATGCGGTGGACCAGGCTGCTGTCCCGCCCTTCTTTGGCGTGCTGAGGAAAAACCAGAGCAGTGAAGATATCTTGCGGGATGCTCAGGTAAGAACACCCACTCTAAAATGTAATGGTAATTCTGTGTATTTTTTAGAAGAGTTAAAGTATTATGTGAGGGACAACAAAAAACCCCAAAATATATCTGAAATATATGAAAATGTAACAGCATTATTACTTTTAATTCTATTTCTTGAGTGTATTTGTGGTCTCGCCATATTGGAGAATGACCGGACATACTTGCTTCATGCAATTCTCTAAACACCTGAGCACATTGAAGAACGTCGTATTTGTGCTGCCCAATTACTTTGTTTCTTAAAAATTTGGAGCTGAGGTTATGTCAAAGGATTCGGTGGTGAATCTTCCATAGCTGTGAGGGCTCTGAACTTTGACGCCAGTTTATGGCTGCTCCGAGGGAGTTGTTTTTACCCCAGTGGTCACGACTGCATGAAGTTGCAATGAACTAGAATGGTTTTCAGTTTTGGTGCTGTCTTGTGAAAATGGCAGTTAAAAATATTCAAGTGGGCAGTTATAGCTGCTCAAATAGGAAGTGGCAATGAGGAGGGAGTTGTGCAGGGCAGGAACTATATCCCATTACTGAATTCCCTTATTAAATGTGATTACATTCAGAAATTTGAAATTGTTTAATGATTTTAAAATGTGAAGCTAGTATTCTTAGTATATTCTTAGATTTGTGAAATTAGGTTGTCTGGAACATCCTGTGTACCCAGCAAAACAATATTTTAACTGGCTTTTTGTGTGTGTATTTCAGGCTGCAAATAAAAATGTGGCTAAAGTACCACCTCCTGTTCCATCAAAACCAAAACAGATTAATTTGCCTTATTTTGGACAGCCCAGTCAGTCACCATCAGACATTAAGCCAGATGGAAATTTTCAGCAGTTGTCAACAGCTGTTGTGTCCACGGGAAGTAAACCAAAAACTGTAGGGCAGCAGTGGGTCCTGCTATCCCCTGGTGCTCCCTCGGTTGGCCAAGACCTAGCTCTTCCTCCAGGTTCTAAGCAAGAAAGTCCCCCTGCAGCCGCTGTCCGGCCCTTCACCCCTCAGCCTTGCAAAGACACTCTACTGCCTCCCTTCAGAAAGCCCCAGACTGTGGCAGCAAGCTCAATATACTCCATGTATACACAGCATCAGGCTCCTGGGAAGAGCCTCCAGCAGCCAGCACAGAGCGCGTCCACCAGAACCCATTCCAGAGGGCTGCCCTTCTCCAGTGGTGAGTGAGTCTTGGTCTTATTTGACCTGCATAGAAGATGTGTTAAGTCCTACACCAGAGCCACCACTTGTCAGTAAACAGAAAATGGCATGTGCCTGTTTCGAGTGATGCTTTTATTCTAAGAATTTTAATTGTGGCTTCTGTTCTTAAGTGTGAATTTAAAAGTTTCCGCTTAAAGTCAACTCCTGCAGTAGGCACTGAAGATAACAGATATAAAATGAAAAATGAATAAGATGAAATAAATTTGAAAATAATTAATGAATAAGGCAAATAAAATGTAGAGTGAAGACAAGCCTCCTGTATTGTAATCACCCACTTGCATTTGTTCCCTGCTCCCTGGGCCCCTTTAGAACCGAGAGCTCAGGAGCTCATGAGTGAGTGGGCCACAGTGCACCAGGAGTGATAGGGCAGAGGCTGTACCTGGGGATAACAGGGCACATAAGGTACCCGTGGATGACAGGGCAGACAGAGGCTGTACGTAGGGGTGACAGAGCACAGGTTGTACTGGGGGTAAAAGTTCAGAGGCTATATTCTGGGGTGACAGGGCACAGGTTGTACCCAGGAGTGACAGGGCACAGGCTGTACCCAGGGATGACAGGGCAGAGACTGTCTTCAATATGGGATTTATCAGGTGTTCTTGGGGAACATGACTGGACAGCTGCACAGGTGTGTATTTTTTTAAAAAATGTTCCGATTGTAAGTTCTAATGAGAACACAGCTACTTGTTAAATATAAAGCAAAAATACTACTTTATGTTTAACATATATGATCTGTTAATTTGTTGGGTTCTTCTTGAGTCATTAGTTTATAGGATTAGAATCAAATTCACCATGTTTTAATTGAATGAAAGTGGCTTTCCAGTAATGAAATAAGCATGTGATCATGGCCTAAAATGTCATAAATTTAACTTGACAGCAAAGAATTTATATGCTATATTTTACTCATTTCTTTTCATGAGTCTTTGGTAAAACTACTAATATAATAATTTGAGAAATGGTTAATTTTGATATAATCACAACATTAGGGGGAATAGTTTTTGTAAATAAAAGTAGTTGTTAATAATTTTATAAGCCAAACATGATTTCTCACACTGATTTACTTTTGAAAAGTATGAAAGATGGACGCATGTTTAGTTTTAATCTGGATACAAAGGATTACCAAATTTCATTGATTCTAAATTCTTTTCACATTTTGGCATTTTAAATATGGATGCTACAGTCAGTTTTTACAGTCTTTTCTTTCTTAGTGGTGCATAAAATTAATGATGTGTGTTACAGTGAATGAGGGTTTTCATTCTGTAATAAGTTTATTATGCAAAGATGGGAAGGCTTGCTTTTTCGTTTGTTATTGTTAAAAATTAGTTGTATTGAAGAGTATTATGTAATAGCTATGAAATTTGAAAAGGCTTTAGTTACTGTTAGCCATGTTTGTTACTTTAGGTTTTGTTAATTAATACTAACCAGGGCTTTTTCCGCATTTCCAATTAGTGTACGGCAAGCCTGTGATTGCTTCCGCCCAGAGCCAGCAGCACCCTGAGAACATTTACTCCAGTGCCCAGGGCAGGCCTGGCAGTCCGGGGCCTGAAACAGAGCCTCTTCCTTCCGCTCCAGAGAACCACGAGAATGAGAGAATTCCTCGGCCACTCAGCCCAACCAAATTACTGCCTTTCTTATCTAATCCTTACCGAAACCAGAGCGACGCTGACTTAGAAGCCCTACGAAAGAAACTGTCTAATGCACCACGGCCACTCAAGAAACGTAGCTCTATTACAGAGCCAGAAGGTCCTAATGGGCCGAATATTCAGAAACTCTTGTACCAGAGGACCACCATAGCTGCCATGGAGACCATCTCTGTCCCATCATACCCATCCAAGTCGACCTCAGTGACTGCCAGCTCAGACAGCCCAATGGAAATCCAGAATCCATATTTACATGTGGAGCTGGAGAAGGAGGTGGTCTCTCTGGTTCCTGAGCCAGTGTCCCCAGAGGAAGTAGGGAGTGCCAGTGCAGAGAATGGGGACATGCCGACTCCTCCAGGCCTTGACTATGTGCCTGAAGGCATCGCAGACAGCAGCCCACATTTCCAGAACAGCATGGGAGAGCCAAATCCAGAGGCTCCCCATCTGCTTGACGTATACCTGGAGGAGTACCCTCCCTACCCACCCCCTCCATACCCATCTGGGGACCCAGAAGGACTGGGAGACGACTCTGTGAGCATGTGCCCACCTGAGATCACTGGGCAGGGGGCCCTGCCTCCTGTAAGTGACCTGGTATCTTATGACCATCAGCACTCCTCTGCCTAGTCACAGTCTTCTAGGGGTTGATCACCAGAACTCAGTGCAACACCAGCAAGTGTAGGGCCATTCGCAAAGATGGTTTTTGTTTGAATTGCCTGTGGTAGCAGATGTGTTCATATCCCCTTTTATTTTACAGCTCCCTTGGTACAAAGTGGCTTGGATAAATGTTAGATTCTTTTAGAGGAACGCCTTTGTGAAGGAAACAGAGTTTTGTTTTTATACCTATAAATAACCACATTTGTTTCTCTTCTAGCTGATGTCACATATTTGGGAAGCAGCTGGGCATGAGAAGACCTGGATTCAAAACTGATCACTAGTTTAGTGAAACTAAGTTCTGTGAACCTGGAAGGGTGGCATAACTTCTCTGATTGGGGACATTACTCTTTTAAACTTTTCTAAGAGTGAACTTATTTTTAATATTTAGGTGGAACCTCACACATCCAGCACCGTTTAGCTGGGAGGGTTCTGGATGAAACAGGGGCCAGAGAAGGGACTGGGCTATGGGGCCTCAGCCTCGCCTCCAGTGCAGTTCCAGCACCTCTGGACAGCATGACAGCCCGTGGGGTTCTTTGTACTCTGGCCTTATGTTATCCCAAAGCCTTCTATGTATTGACATGGCCATGTCTTCTGCGCTACTCCCAATATTAAGCTTTTGCTTGGAAGTTAGTAGGTCACTTTGAAATAGATGAGAAAAAATCAGATTCCTAGAATGTCTTTTAAAGAAGTAAGCTTTTTGAGAGTTTAATTTGAAAGCATTTTGTTTCAGGGTGCCAAACTGAATTTTTAAAATCTGGTCAAAAGCAAAACAGCATACTGCAGGCATTTTTTTTTAAAGGTGCTTTATTTGTTGGAGATGTATATATATGTGTGTGTGTGTGTATAGGATTCTAGAAAAAATTTTAAAATAGAGCTAACACTTTTTTAACAACTTTGTGCCTTCATTCTGAGGCATGATTCTCTTCAGTTTCTTTTTTATTTAAGTATTTTTGATATACAATCTTTTATTGGTTTCAAGTATACAACACAGTGGTTCAGCAGTTACCCATATTATTAAATACTCACCCCCTCTATTGTGGTTACTATCTGTCAATATAGGAAGATGTTACAGAATCACTGGCTATATTTTCCATGCTGTACTACCATTCCTGTGACCGATTTATATTACGATCAAGAATTTTTGTGCCCCTTTATCCCCTCAACCTCCCCACCCCACCTACCCTTTCTTCAGTGTTAAACATGGAAAAGGAAAGAAGTTTTAACATCTACTTTTGTTGGTTGTGTCAAAATAATTCGTACTCTTAAAGATGGAAAAGGAAAGCAGCTGATAAAGTAGCATAATTTCTTTTTAAGATGCTGTTTTCCTCTTTCTTAGGAAAGTAGTTTACTTTTTCTTTTCCAGTCCGAGTAAAATAGAAGCCACTGTCATGGATGTGGCAGGCGTCCTCACACCAGTGCTACTCAGGAGTTGTGTTATCAGAGTCATATAGTGTTTACACTGCTTTTCTTTTTTCCAAGAAACCTCAACATTTTAGCCATTGCACATTTGTGAGACGTTTTATTGCCAGTTAATGTTTTTTAAACTTGGTTGTTATCCACATCTGAAATGCAATAAAGACAAATACAGGTCATACCATAGTTAGGAAACAAATGTTAGCACTTGGTTGATGTGTTTTAAGAAACCTACTGCATAGGATATTAGAATTAATCTTTGTAATTTTGCCCTTTTTTTTTAAAGGCCTAACTTATTAAAATGTGGAAACACTTGATTTACTTAGGTGTTTTGGAGTATAGTTTTAATGCAAAACAGTGATAGCATTTTAAGGCTAGTAGGATTTCTTACTGGTTTACCTTAGTTCTATGCTTTCCTCACACGGAGGCATATTGTTGTGAAATGGTTAAAAGGAGGGGCTTTGAAGAAGCTGAATTACTTGAATTTAAATTCCAGCTCTGAAGTTTATTGGCTATGTGCCTTCATTTTCTTATCTGTAAAATGGGATGATAGGGTTTTGTGAGGAATAAATGAATGCCTATTCAGTAGATGTTAGTATTACAAGTCTGAGTTGTGCTCTTGCCCAACCTAATTGCGAGGTTTACTGTGCTCGGCTAGATAGGTTACTTAGAGACAGTGTTGGCTCACTTCCATACTTGACAAAAGCCAGTCTGCTTGTCGTGGAAGGGCATGCTCTTGGCGCAGCCCCGGCTCTCATGTTTACCCAAATGTAATTTCGCTGGGTTTGAAAAAGCCTTTCCCACTTTGTTAGATGGGTTTATTTATTAAACTGTATATTACGATTTAGATACTTTTCTGAATACAGATGTACTTTAGTAAAATATGCTGAATGCGTACTTGTAAAGTTCCCTTCGCTAATGCAGCTGAGTTGTTACTCCTCCCATATTGGTGGTGGCCTTGGGTCCGGCCATTATTTTCCATGCATTTCCTCTACAGGGCAAAAGGACAAACTTGCGTAAAACTGGTTCGGAGCGCATTGCTCATGGGATGAGGGTGAAATTCAACCCCCTTGCTTTACTTCTGGATTCTTCTTTGGAGGGAGAATTTGACCTTGTACAGAGAATTATTTATGAGGTATGCTTTAATGAGCAAATTTCTTAAATATAACCTTGTATTTTGTTTCAAACCTCTGAACAGAAAGCTGCAGTGGAGAAACTGTATTTTTCAAACTGCCTTCTTCTTTGGGCATGGGACTATGGACAGGAACATGTGCATGCTTCAAACAGGCTTTGTTTTTTTTTAAAGATGTGGCTCTAAAATGTTCAATAATGTAGAAGTTCAGTTCTTACTAGAGTCCCCTAGAGTACTTCTCTTTCTCAGGGAGATTGTCCCATCCTTAGAAACTGCTCAGGCATGGATTTTACTGTATAGTTTTAAATACAGATGTCGTCCCCACTTTACAGAAGGCTACTATTTAAAATATTTTTAGTTGACCTGACCTGTTTTCCTTTCTACGGCAAATGTACCTGTACATACACACTAATTTGTGGTGGGAAGTTGGAGGATAAGTAAACAAAATGACTGTAAGAACATAGCTTCTGGTACTTCTTCAATTCTTAAAAAACCTCTCTATAATATCTACTTAATGTGGTTATTCTGTCTGTCTGATTTCTAGAATTGTCCATGGTATGGTTTTCTTGGCTCCTGTAGGTTTTAGTTATAATTTTTAAAAAGTACCACAAGAGTCTATTTCTGTGCTTTTAATCCTAAAGAGTCAGTTAATAGTGACAGTTCAGGTGACAAGCAACTTTAGTGACAGACGTCCTTACTACTGTAGGTGGATGACCCAAGCCAGCCCAACGATGAAGGCATCACTGCGCTGCACAACGCTGTCTGCGCGGGCCACACAGAGATCGTCAGGTTCCTGGTACTGTTTGGTGTGAACGTAAATGCAGCTGATAGTGACGGATGGTAAGATTCTTGTTGAGCTCTGCTCGAGTGTCAGCTGTCCTGCTGTGTTTCAGTGAGTAAGCAGCACTGTGGCTGCCCCTGGGAAACACAGAGGGTGCGGTGTCCTTGCTGCCTCTCACCCAGGGTAGAGAAGTGAACCCGTCCGCATGCAGTGGTAGTCTCACTTCCATCTGGGTCAGGTGGTGTTTTTAAAGTTTAGCAGTTAAATAATAAAATAAGAAATCTCACAAAGTGGTACACAGTTAATGAGCATGCTTCAGCCAATTCGAGAAATGCTGATTTAAGCAAAGTTTCCCCAACCCTCTGAAACTTCTGTCTTTAATGTACTGATGTCCGTTGTGTGTTTCCAAGGAGAATTAAAAGTATAACCTTTCCCAAATATATTTGACCATGGGATCCGTTTCTCATGGAGCACCTTTAAGAACTGTTGTGTGCATAAAACACAGGATATACTATTATAAATGATGAATATTGTTCATATGATAATGTATTATTGTTAAATAATAATAATGAAAGTCCTAATAAATTGGTCTCATTTCTAATAACTAGAATAGAATAAATGGTAAATTTTGTTTTTTTATTTTGAAATTGTAATATGCTCTATTTTGGAGTATAAAAAAATTACCTAAGATTTTTTTTTTCTTTTTAGACCCCCTCACTGCAGACAGGGGACCCTTGCAGAAGACGCAGGGTATTTATAGACAGGAGGCAAAAAAGGTCCGGTGGATGCAAACCATGTTTTTATTAGAATGAGGGGAGAGTAGGAAAGAAACCCCTTAAAAGAAACTTGTGAGGAGAGGCACACAAGGCAAATTGAATGGCCTGAGAAACAGAGGAGTCAGGGGAAGTTAATATTCTTTTTTTTTCTTAATTTTTAAAAAATTTTATTATCATTAATGTACAATTACATGAAGAACTTTATGTTTACTAGGGTCCTCCCTTCACCAAGTCCCCCCCACAAACCCCATTACAGTCACTGTCCATCAGTGTAGTAAGATGTTATAGAATCACTACTTGTCTTCTTTGTGTTGCACAGCCCTCCCTATGCCC